AGTTGAATTGCCAAAAAGAAGTCTTGAAATGTTTAGGAGACATTAATATTTGAATCTACCTAGCATTTGGCAAAATGGTCAGTTTTCTCCCAAGCTCAGTCATTGCAATTTGTAAACAGTTATTGACAAAATTGAAGAGAAAATAGCAATATCCCATCATTTCTTTTCGTTTAATATCTATCATTTGCTTCTACTTCTTAACAAATATAATGCTTATTACCTGCTTTTCAATTCAGAGTAGTCCTTCTAAACTGATTATCACCCAAGGCTTCTCAGTCTACCCTTCTATTTAACCCACAGTTGAGATTAGGGAGAAAGAAGTGGATTCATGCCTTTCCCAAGAGCATTACTGTGAAGGCAACAGACTAGGCTGGAATTTGAACTTGGCTTGCTGATTCCATCCACTTTCAAACCAGTCTTGTCACCTGCACATCCTGACACGCTAAAAACAAGATGGTTAAATATGACTATTTTGTGACTTTTTTTTATTTCCATCAGAAATATAGATTATACAGGGAATTTTCTCTACCCACCCACTGCTTTGCTCTGCCAAGGCTTTTTTGGTTGATTTTTTTTTAAAACTTAGAATTCTGATTGCAATTTTGTTAAAGAAAAGAAAACTCTTTAAAAAATTTAGATATCTAACTTTTCTACTTACACATGCTATTCATTTTTCTCATTTCTTATCGTTGATGAATTACAAAACTGATCAACAGAACATCTGTGAAATACCATATTATAATAAAATTCATTAAACATCCTCTCTGGATGTTCCACACTTGTGGCCTTCTACCAGACTAAACCAACATCAATCAGGATGCCTGCTCATAGAACATTGTCTAACAGGTTCATTTTGTTGATCATTACAACTGCAGTGAGGTTTTTTTTTTCTTAAGCATTTCACTCCAAGCAAGGCAAGAGTGCCAATAACACAAAAGGGGTTAATGAGAACAAGAGTAAAGAGGGGTGTTTTAAGAAAGGGTATAGAGAAGGATGGCGATCAGGATGAAGGCAACAAGATATCGACATTACATTTGAATATTTGAAGATTTATAGGTATCAGGGAAGCAAGTAAGAGGAAGGGAGTTCCACTGTCTGGAAGTGAGAGAAGCTGTTGGAGTAGAAGAGGTAGTTACATTTAACTGTTTTGATAGTAAAAGGGTGGGACAGAGATGCCAAACTAGTAGCACACTTAAATTCATGCTGTTGAGGTACCAGTGACAGTAGCTTGTCAGAGCAGTTGCCATGAAAATATTTGTAGAAATGACAAAGGGAAGCCAGAGTATGTTTGTGAGAAAGTGACTGTAGACGAGATGCCAGATCAATACCTATCACATTGCATATCTGGATTTTGTCAAGGACCTCGAGATGAACAGAGGAGGCAACAGTATTCAATGCAAGGACAAATGGTAGATTTGTAGAGTTAGATTTTTACTGAGAATCAGTTATTAGTGGCCTAGTGGAAGACAAGTCATCATAACTGGTAAATTGTTAACACATATCAAATGAAGATTTTTGGATCCTCGCATCATTTTATATTTCTCATTCTCCCTATTAATATTGCATCCCCCCCCAAAAAAATAATATTGGCTATTTTATCATTTCAATGGTGGAATTAAAATCTTTTCAAACATCCTGTAAGCATCTAAAAGTAATTTGTCTTTTAATCTCAATGCCAAGATCTGTATGTATGAAATTATTCTAGACACAGAGATGAACATTTATGTAAATTTATCAATAAAAATATACGTAGCCAAGTAGATAAGATATTTCTTTATATGAATTCAGTCTGTGATATTGTTTAAAATTAATACAGATGAAATTTTTATGTGGCATTAAACCCGTGGGTTAACCAAAAAATATATTGCTACTAAATCTGGCATAACAGCTGTTTTAAATTTAGAAATGAACTGCTTAGATATTCTGAAAAGTTCTTGGCTTAAACCAAGTTTCACAAATTCTAACCAAACATCAGAATGATTGTGATTTTATGATCAAGAACTTTTTAGAATCCCTCATGTGTATACAGAATACAGAGTTTTATATATATATATATATATATATATATATATATATATATATATATATATATATATATATTTCTGCTTCTAATGTGAAAATTTTATTTGATAACAAAAAACATAGAAATCAAAATTGTGCCTGTTGATTGTTTTTGTTTAGTGGTATATCACCATCTATCGGTTATTTAATACTGAAATCTAAATATTTTTGTATGCAATTTTTTATTTTTGCAGATAATGGTTTAGTGGTACATTACACTATCCATACATCCAACCTTAGAGCACCTGAAATTCCCAAGCAGTCACCCATCTAGCTACTAATTAGGCTCAATGTTACTTAACTTTGGTGATTGTACAGGAACCTGTGTTCCAAGCCATTTTTACTATTGTAATTCATCTAAAACAAGCATTCTGTAAGAGGCTGACAAGTTTTAGAATAAATAAGAAATGTACAGCAAATATATGTACAATATACATACCTTAGAGGCATGGGGTAATGGATAGCGGCTTGGATTGTGGAATCTGAGAACTGAGTTCAAATCCCAGTCAAGTTTGCTACAGTCACTTATGTGTAAATACTGTTGAAAAAGCTATGAATCCATGTTTTCTCCCCTCAGCTATGGGTAAATAACAGGACAAACTGGGTACTATAGACTTGGTTGAATTGAAAATGACCAGCTATGGTTTAAATAGCCTCACCAACACACAATTGGCCTAATGTGAGTATGCTATACCCCAGAAAATATAGATAATCAGAGAGAGGGTTCTCCAACAGGCGAAGATCCTGGATTTGGATCTGTTGTAATTTCAGTGGTCATAGGAAGAATATATGCCCTGAAATTTAGGCTACAAAATCCGGGGGGAAAAAAAAACAATTCATTTAAAAGACATTTTTTAGAATTTGCTGCAGCAAAACAGGAGCAGTTGTGGGATATAAAAAAAAAAAAAAAAACAGGTAAAGAAATGATAACTGTATTTTAGCATCAACTACATTTGAAGTCAGTATACATGAGCAAATGTGCCTTATGTCTGACCACTGACTCTTACCAATTAGCTTCTCCAAGTTAATCACAACAAAATGCTTGTGATGGAAGGGAAAATGTTTATGTTGATGTACTAAATTATGAAATGTCTCACCTGAAATTTATTCATTGAACTCAATCTGCTTGTGATTGAATTAAAAAAGCAAAGTTTTCAAGTTTTTTTAGATGATGAGTATCCAAATAGATGTGTATTTAAAATTTAATTATATTTAGAGAAAAAGAGGGGGAGAGTGTGGACATCGGAATCAACACTGCCTGCTCATTTTTACATCTGAGTCATCTAACATATGTGACTACTCCTTTTGCAGGTTCTTGATATATAGGTCACTAGGGGATTAAAGAAAATGAGGCAACCAGTCCTTCCTAGTTCTTTTGATTGAGAATAATGATTAAGGGCTATTGTTTTGTGTATTTTTTCTTTGGTTCTAAGTTTTGGTATTTGGAATAAAGTTTATTAGCTTTTGGTTATGGAATTTTATTTGATATTTTTGGTAATTATGTGGTTGTAGGTAGCTTAGTGGGAATTCACTTTCATACATGCAGTTAGAAATAAGTTAACTTATTAGGCAAATGTGGAAGCTCAAAAGCACAAACCAAAATATGGAAAATAAGGAAAACAGCACCAGCTTATAGCAACAATTTAAAGCAATGTAACCTTTGAAGGTGAAAATAGTCATAATCATTTTACTCCTAAACAAAAGATCAGAGCTCATTTACTACAAAGGAGTAGTGGCACATGAATGTCACCATGTAATGTTGATTCCTGTGTCCTCAATATCTATTTTACGCACCCTTCCCACATAAATATAGAAAATTTTAAACTATGTTATATTAATATACCTTGATAATATTGAGGAGTATAAAAACAGGTGAAAAAAAAACTTAATGTAAAAACAGCAATCTAAAATTGTTTTGAATTTTGAATCGGGTGGCATTTAAGCTAGCCCCTGCAGAATGCTCTTGATTGGGCCTTCGTCACAATAGGTAGGGAGGAGTAGATGCGATAGGCAACAATAAACTACAGAACTCAAAATTTATCATTGCATTTAAGTATTGCATTAATATTTACACTTACCTTTTAAAAGTTTAACGATAATTCTTCTGCTGCCCCTTAATTTAAAGATAATTTGGTATTTGTAGGTCCTTACTTTCTGTACAAACAATTATTTTTATTTCATGGGTGATTTTTGCTGGATTTTGCAATTAATTTTGATTATTCCTAAATTATAAAAATTGTTAATGTAGAAAAAAAATTTGCTGCAAAAAATCACGTAAAAAAAAATTTTTTTTTAATAATTGCCAAAAGCAATTGCAGTAAATGAAAACTTGAAAATCCCAAATTTCAAGATTGCAGGTTCAGATCCAGCCCGGAATCTTTTTCACTTGCTCCCAGAGTCATCTTGATTCCAAAATGGTATGATATGTTGGGCTACAGCACCAAGTAGTAAAGTTGAGAAAGTGTGACACAGTGATATTTACACCTCTTATATACAAAGAGTGCTAAAGGGCACCTTGAGGTTGTGTAATAGTTAGCAAGTGTGTCTTGCTAGAACAATTACAACTGAGTAGTGAGTTCGATCCTCACTGGGTGCCCCCTACTTTCGGACTTGTGCCACATCTAAGCAGTGCTTGGAAAATCACTACAAAGAGTGCTACATATTAAGGGTAGAGCATATGTTGACATGACCAGTGTGCAGACCTAGTGATTAACAAGGCATAGTGACTGATCTTAAGGCATGAAGCTGATAGGCATGATGGGGCTTACAGCAACATCACATTGAAACACTTGTTCCTGTATGATCACTATAGGTAAGCAATGTCAAGCCTGGTCAATACCTAGATGGGTGATCACTTGGGAATACCAGGGGCTGTATGCCTGGATTTGTGAGTGGTGTAATGGATCGATCAATGCAATAGTAATAACACTTTGTCACAGAGAATCTCTATCCCTCTCTCTCTCTCTGTACCTTTCTCTCTTTCACTCCCTCCCTCTCTCCACCTTTCTTTCTCTCTCTTTCCCATCCTCTCTCCACCTTTCTTTCTCTCTCTCTCCCTCTCTCTCTCTCCACCTTTCTTTCTCTCTCTCTACACCCTCTCTCCACCTTTATTTCTCTCTCTATCTCCCTCCCTCTCTCCAACTTTCTTTCTCTCTCTCTCCCTCCCTCTCTCTACCTTTCTTTCTCTCTCTCTCTCCCTCTCTTTCTCTCTCTGTCCCTCCCTCTCTCCACCTTTCTTTCTCTCCCTCCCTATCTCCACCTTTCTTTCTCTCTCTCTCTCCCTTTTTCCACCTTTCTTTCTCTCTCTCTCCCACCCTCTCTCCACCTTTCTTTCTCTCTCACTCTCTCTCCTTCTCTCCACCTTTATTTCTCTCTCTCTCTCTCCCCCTTTATTTCTCTCTCTATCTCCCTCCCTCTCTCCACCTTTCTTTCTATCTCTCCCTCCTTCTCCCCACCTTTCTTTCTTTCTCTACCTCCCTCTCTCTACCTTTCTTTCTCTCTCTCCCTCCCTCTTTCTTTCTCTCTCTGTCCCTCCCTCTCTTCACCTTTCTTTCTCTCTCTCCCTCCCTCTCCCCACCTTTCTTTCTCTCTCTCCCGCCCTCCCTCTCTCTACATCTCTCTCTCTCTCTCTCTCTCTCTCTCTCTCTCTCTCTCTCTCTCTCTCATAAGTAATATCTTCTCTATAACATCAGTTTTAACAAACAAATTTTAGTGAGAGATTCATAGACTAACATTGATTTTTCCCTATATTTTTTTAGTTTTCTTCCCAGGTTCACATAGAAAGATAGCAATTCCTCTTTCTCTCTACCTACCCGCCTATCACTAAGCCCCCTCCTACCCCCTGGCTGCTTATCAACACTTATGGCCGCCATCCAGAGATAGTATCCAAATCCATTAGCTTTCAAACTGAAATTGCAATCACCATGTGATTGGATTTGGCAGAAGACTGGAGGTTGTAAAGCAATGTCATCGTTAAAGATTATTTCATGGATTTGTTATTGATATGTACTTAGCTTGGTTTAGTATGACACAAGGCCCTAAGTGTAAGGTCAGCCAGTGAAGACTAAATTTACTAAAGTAGTAATTGTCTGCTAGAATAGTTTGCTAACCATTATTCCATGATAAGTAGCCACCACACGTTTCACATAATAGATATTTAACTTTAGCTTAGTATGGCAAAAGGTCATTAGTGTGAGAGGACCAGGTGAGGATTAAACTTACTGTATTTGTAAATATGATTTTTAAGGATGAATTTCCTAACCTTGGCACAAAAGCAAAAATATATTGAAAGTGTACTAATTTCCGAGCCTTTCCTGGTAAATTTACATCCAGGATAATACAGCATATCTCCTTTCCTAACAAAACTAAAGTTACAGCTAATTACCACAGAACAAAGTTTAAAAAGAAAAGATAAAAAAGCAACAAGCCGTCGTCTAAAAGATGCACAGGTTCTCCATCCCACAGTGGAAGAATTCAGTGCAGGGTCAAATACACTATTTCAGAATGATAACTAACACTGACCAACGAAAAACGCCAATATACAAATTAACAAGATTTAATTACAACCAGACAATACATAAAAAACATTTAGATATTAGAATACGTGTAAAGATGTATGTTATACCTTTCTGTGTGGAAAGATGCATACGTTATTTTATGAGGGCAAAAGTTGAAACAAAAAGCCTTTGTTTTTTTGTTTTTCTGAAATAAAATAAGGTTTTCTCTTTTCCCTTCTCTCTCTCTCTCTCTCTCTCTCTTTCTCTCTCTCTCTCTCTTTCTCATGATTCTCTTTGTCCCTTTTAACTTCAAACCACTTCATTCGTTCAAATAGCGGTGTCCTTTGATCTATTCTTCTAACTTAAATGTTCCGTTCATTATCCGGTCATTTAGTTTCGTCACTATAGAAATCGTACACTTGGTTACAAAGATTCGACGCTGTGTAAGTCATAGGTTTAACTGTGCAGAATTCACGTTTCGGATCCTTCATCCAATTAAGTATATCACATATGCGTTTCTTAGGTGACGATCACGTTTCTCCATTCACCTATGCCCTTAATGTAAGCTGCATAGTGTTAAGTTAAATTGGAATTCGTCTCTTGCCGTGCGATCTCTTTTGCTTGACAATAAAAAGTGAAAGAGGAATTATCCGCGCAAGACTTGTTTCCGTTTAATTCTGTATTGGAGTCTTATGTGAGTTGGGGTCGTCATTCTTTCTCTTCAATTCGGAAATTCAATTCACATGAGAATTTAATATACACTACGTTTCCTTCGTGATTCTTTACCCAACTGAGTTTTGTCGACCTTTCCCGCTCAATCGTTCGTATCTGGTCACGTGATTTGTCACGTATATGATCTTCTATTTTTGGCTTTGGCTTCCATCTTTTGCCGTGGTTGTCAGTCTGACCTAACTGTCTTTGCGTTCAGCAACTGCTATTACGTACCAAAATAGAGAGGAGGAGAATTCACATATTATATTATTAGAGAGCTGAGAAAGAGATATATGTGGCTAAGCGTAAGATTTTGTGTAGGTATGGGTGGTGAGTTGCTGAAAGCCGTAACACTAATGCAATTACAATGTGGACATTTTTAAAACCAAAAGAAGTAAAAAACTGAATGAGTTCAGCTAGGTTGTGCATCAGGTATCCAAAATTTAAACTTACAAGCTTAGTGTCCTGTGTCACTGTAGAATTGTAACCAGCATTTGTTGTATTTCGTTCCCTTAAACTTCATATATATATGATTTCTTGTATTTTCTCCTTCAAGTCGGTTTGTTGTTTATTACTTTACCAGAGGCATAATAGAGTTGATTGACAAATTTGTCTCTCTGATTGTCAATCAATGTTCTTTCTACAATTATAATCACTAAAGGTGGGGGTTTATTACAGATTTTACAGGTAGAGACCCAAAAGTGAAAAATCACTTGCTTCAAATGTCTATTTTCTTTCTGAATTTCTAGTATTAAATTTCTGTACTTCATAAACTCTGGCCAAGGTTGGCATGAAGTAAAAATGTTACCCCAGTCTGAATCAAGTAAAAGTTTATGATGAAAATGGAAATATCAAAATAAATCTTAGTTCTCCCCAACCGAATATTACATCTTCCAGATAATGTGGAATTGTGGACAATGAAAAATCTTCACAAACCTTTAACTACACCTGAACTCTCTTAGCTAATTTTGATTAAAATATTTCAAGTGATATATTTGGAGATGTAAACTATATTTGTTTCTGCTCCAAATGTTTTCAATTTTGATAGTACAGACTTATTTTTTTAACCTAAAATGATGATGCGTCTTTTAATACATACAAGTCATACAAATATTAGGATGTTTATTTATTAGTCCTCATATCATGCAAACTAATTTGATCTTTTCGGTATGATTTATGTTTGTTTTCCCTTGAATCTCTGTTTTAACCATCACGATAAATAAATCTTGTAAGTTTTTTTTTAATACTTTTGATGTTGAAAACCTAGAACTTGAATACATGGAACAGTGACAATCAATCTTAGGAAAAAGGAAAACATTCAATTCTTGTCACAGGTTCATCAATGTGCTTCTAGGCATCATCATCATCATATTTCAAAGCTGAATTTTTATTTAATCTTAAGTGGAAATGTATTATTATCTCAAAAAAGTGTATACAAAATATTTAGATTTCGGCATTAAATAACCCATAGGGATGTTGATATGCCATTAAGCAACAACAACTGACCAAGTTAAGCACAAACTCCATTTTGGTTAATGGCATATTTTTAATCGAAAGATAAAATTAAATATGTAATTGCTACTTTCTTTTTATTGTTAAACGTACATGAAATTTGTATTTGTTTTACTCATTGATTTATATCGTATCATCGAATTTAATATCCATCAGGAACCTTGAATTAAGAAGAGTCAATTTGCTATGTCTTTAATACGTACTCATTCCACACTAAGAAATACCAAAGTAACTTTTGTTCTCTTCAGAATCTCAAAAGACCTAAGTGACTCAAATTTGGCTGAGAAAGTACCCTCAAAGCCACCAAGTGTGCAGTCGGGCCTCAAAGGATTTGTGGGGTGCGACAACATAAACAATGAAATGAACTCAGCTACATTTAGGATATACACACGCAGGATAATAGGTTATATAAAGGTCCAACCTATGAGAGGAGAGGAAGAAGATTGAACATTCAAAGAAAGACCTGAAACTTCATACCCTCGATTCAGCTGCTATTAATATAGTGTGGTCCAGAAGTGAATAAAGAAAATGTGAAAAATTCTTATTATAATAATATATTATAATTAACTTTGATCTGGACAAGTTATTATTTCTGATTATGCGTCAAGTTTTCCTTCCTGATGTTCATTGTATGAGTCGGGTGTTGAAAAGTTCCTGGCCCAATCAAATAGTGATTAAAAAAATATCTTATGTTTTATCAAATTTTGAGATATGAGTCAGTCTGAGAACTTTTCAGCACCCATTCCTATCACTCTATTCATTTCTATGTCTGTTTTATACTTTCCTGGTTATTTGCTTTAAATGAAGAAACTGAACTGTTGCCAATTTTGAAAGGTCACAGTGAATCTCAAACTAAAATGACTCAGTGTACAATTAGGTGTCCACATCTGAATTCTTTGAGGAGAAAAAAAGTATTAAAAAACCTTGTAAAATTCAAGCTAAAGACTTAAACTCGATCAATTTGAAGTTGTTAATGTTATCTGTCAAGTTTATTTGAATTTGGACTTATGAATGGACTTATTTTTTGGTTTTTTGTTTGTCTTTTTTTTGGGAGGGGGGTTCTAGTATTTATAAGGCCACTGGTACTTGAACCTTTATCATTCCCATTCAATTTAGTCTCCAGACAAGAAATCTACTTTGACAAAACTAATAAAAACTTGTCAGTAAATTCTAATCAGAGTTTAAAGGTTAAAGAAATTGATAGGATTTTTATTTTGCAAAAAAAAAAAAAAAATACCTAAATCAAACTAACAGTTGAATAAGATTAAAATGCTGATTGATTGGTTGATAAAATTCAATTTTTATTTCCTTTTTTTTTTACATTTCTGAAGTTAAGTATTTTCATGAGTGCATTTTGACTCCAAATTTCTTCATTTTTTGTTGCTATTTTCATCAGAGCGCTCTGAATAATACCCAGGTGAAACATGATATTGACATGCTTAGAATACTAGAAATGTCTTTTTCATAAAAAAAAAATTTTTGGTTATAAAAGTTTTTAAGCCTCTTTTTAAAAATGTTTTGCAGTATTCTACCCACTTCTAGCTATTAAGGCTGCTGGTGGCACCATGGGTGGCAGAAACCACCTTAGCCACCGAAACTGTGTTACTTCCCTTGGTTGGCGGCTGACAAGGGCAAGGTATCGCATGTGCTTTCACATGCTGTAAAGTAGAAAAAATTCTCTCTCTCTCTCTCTCTATATATATATATATATATATATATATATGTGTGTGTGTATATATATATATATATGTGTGTGTGTGTGTGTGTGTAATTAATATAAGTAAAAGTTTGTCACTTAGCTGATTGGCCGACTCCAGAGTTTTGTAGGCAAACTTGATCCATAGCCACAGATCCAGTCTCAGCAATGCAATTATAAACAGCAGCAAAGATTGAATGACGTGGCTGCGTTCGAACTGGAAACACAATCTGATATAGCTATGCAGCCTCAC